GACATGGGCCCCAACTGCCTTTGCAACATTCCATGTGTGGGTTCCGGGGTCCACCTGTCCTCACCCATGTTGACTCCCCAGCCGTCCTGCTTGTTGCTCTTCCTGCACCAAACTTTTTTTTTCTTTTCTTTTTCTTTTTTTTTTTTGGCGGTACGCGGGCCTCTCACTGTTGTGGCCTCTCCCGTTGTGGAGCACAGGCTCCTGACGCGCAGGCTCAGCGGCCATGGCTCACGGGCCCAGCCGCTCCGCGGCATGTGGGATCTTCCCGGACCGGGGCACGAACCCGTGTCCCCTACGTTGGCAGGCGGACTCTCAACCACTGCGCCACCAGGGAAGCCCTGCACCAAACTTTTGTCTTTAACTACGTATAAGCGGCCTATGTGAGATTTGAATTGGGCTTGAGAGCCACCCAAATATTTTTCCCTCTCATTGAGACAGAATTTCTTTTGGTGATTCCCACCCCACCCCCACCCCCCTTTAGAAGATATCTTGGTCTTTGTTCTATTTTAGTGGTGGTCATTTTTCATCTGCCAACCCAGCAAACATGATGATTCTTTCCTGGTTAAAAAAAAGAAAGAAAGAAAGCAAACCTTTCAGATCACCCTCAAATTAATTGTATTAAATCTGCCATCTCTGTTTTGCTGTCTCTCTCTCTCACCCATTCTCCTTTTTTATTTTAAACAGGATGTTTTTTTTCCCTATAGATGTATAAGAAACGACTACATCAGCCCAAAGCCTCATAAACTGACCGTTTGTCCTCTGGACACAATAGCATGGCCAGCCCTCTGCTCCTCCTCTCCAATTATGTGTGATTAGTCTCAATGCGTTGTGTCAAGGAGGAGGAGTGTGCTGAGTGCTTATTATCTGTTTAGGTACAAGAAGAGCACATTTAGGCTCTGACTATGGATGAAAAGTGAGCCTTTATCAGGGCTCAAATCTACTGCCGTTCTCCAGGCCTCTTTCAAAAGAGGTCCTTTCCAGGGAAATTTTGAATAAATGGTTGATAAAACGAGATGGCAACCAGGGCGAGTTTTTAAAAACTCAATCACACAATTATCTGATTGAAAGTAAGTATATATAGTCCTATGCAGCAATGCAAGTGTATGGTAAACATTTAATATGTGCTACCTAGGATTAAGAGAGAATGACTTTTCTGCAGGGAGCCCAAGCCTCTCCTTGCCTGGTTCATCCCGGAGATGCTCTAATGCCTTTTGTGGAAATTCAGATGTTTATCTGTAAGGAATCATCTGTGTCCACTTTCACAGTAATGTCATTAGTAGGTTAGCTATATATCCTCCTATCTTTAGTAGAGGCAAAGCGTGTATTTAGCGTGGTACAATTAAAGTGATAGGTGGGAGACTGGGGGCGAATCCTTTTGCATGTTAAGCAAACTTAGCCGTCATAAAAACAGCGACTCTCAGATGTCTTCTCTGCTCACTTCTATCATCAAACAAATTTTTCACCATCAGTTTGCATGTTCTTGTATTTACCACTTTTTCTGCTCCATTAGAGCACCTAGATGGATCTCTGAAGGCATAGGTCAAGTCGCAGTTAGATCATACATTTCTTTCTCACAAAAACTTGAATTGCAATGCCAAGTGATGGGCTAACGTCACAATAACAGCAATTTATTCCTCTTTGGGTAAAACAGCAGTCTATTCTCAGTGCTAGATAAAGACCAGGGCAATGCAAACCAGCCATTTAGCTGAGTAGTTCAGCTAGTGGCAGCTCTCCTTTGGCGACTGTATAGGTTGCACACTGGCTTCCTATTTTCTTGTTTAAAAAATCAGAATTCGGAATGTTTTAAAAGGCAACACAGGTAGTTCCGTTTAGACTGGTGAAAACGCAGAGAAATGACTTCTTCCTGCAACTAAATCTGCCAGACAAAGAAAACCCATCCCTGCAGTAGCATCTAAGATCGCCTGTTCTTATTTTTTCTTGTAAAATATAGAGCATCAGAATCATGAGAATAGTTCCATTTTTTTCTCATGAAAATACATGAATTGGCGAGAATTCAGTTTACATTTGTGTGTTGTGGGTGTAGAAATCCAGTGTTTATATTTTGCCGGAAGAAATTGTATTTTAAAAAGTAAATTAGTAGTGTGTTTTTTCTTAATATCTGAGAAGAGTGTGTACAGTTACCTAAGCTGGAGACAGGGTATAAGAATTGAGCTGTGCTACCAAAAGACATTGAGTAAAGAAATATGTTCATTGTGACTAAAACCTAGAGAATCTTTTGTAAAATGTTAAGGGTTTCATAGATTTGCTCTTTATGGGACCCTTACCTGGAGATGTCACTAGTCCAGGCTCTTTGGAAGTTTGTAAGAAACTAATGTTGTATATTATTGAATAGTTTAAAAGTGTTTTTATTTTCTCAAATTTTGGCAAAGTGCCGATATTGAGAGGGGAAAAAATTATAGCTGCTTTAGAAAGTTTAACCACTTACATTTCTTTTGAACTTTATGGTTAAGAATTGTTTCTCTGCATCGGTATTGGGTTGCATAATTGCAGTTGAAATGCCCCATTTCATAATTGTCTGTGTAATTGTGCCTGTGTTTGTTTCAAAACAAAGCCTGTCTGAAATCATAAGAATTATTACTGTATTCCTGTTTCCTGTGTACCTGTATCTTCTGAGAAAACTCACAAATCTCTTTTGTCATACTAAATAGATTTGGTTGGGTGTGAGAATGTTTCTAATATCGCCCATGGTCAGTTCTAATGTGGTGATATGAACAGCCACATACAAGTTGGTTATAAGAAATATATTTTATTTTATAGCAAGACATATGCTGTGAATTGGGATAAAAGTGCTAGAAAAGACTACCTAAGAGGTTGATGCTATTTTGTATAAATTGTGTATTTTGTTGGCTTTTTGACTGAGCACGAAAATGTAACTTCCATTAGGGTAGGGTAATTTAGGTGCTCTGTATTCAGCAGAAAACTTGTCGGGCCATAAAAGCTTTTCTGGCTGGTTCCTCTGGTGTTTTCAGAGAAGAGCTGCCCGCCCCTTGCTGTTTTTCCCTTTGGCTTCAGTATGGGCTGAATTTACCACTGCATACCTGTTGAATCAATTTGGGGGATCTAGCAGTTAACTGAGTGAATGGAAGGATTAGTGGCCTTTTGGAGCCCTATTTCAACAGCCAGGTGTCTTTCCTAAACTAGTTAACTGCTTTTGACAGTTGAAGAACCTGGTTTTAATACCACAGGCAGGAGATTGTTGACGTAGCGGGGTTTTTGTGTTTTTTTTTTTCTCTCTACTATCAAAGTGGGGCATACCTTCTTCTCCTAAGGGTTAGGCTTCTTCTTTTTTGATAGGAATGGACTGTCCCCTTCCCTCAACACAGCTTCCGTGGGGCTTTTGTGCTTAGTCAGCATTTGACTTGTTTCCAGTCTATGCCAAGCAATTGGGTGGCATTGTCCAGCAGTGGACTCGGGGGAGGGGGCAGAATGCTTACGCAGGGGAGGGAGTCATGTGTACGTAGATACACACACATAGACACACTCACAGGGAAGATAAGGCTGTTTAGACCCTCAATCTGCTTCCAGATTCCAGGTACACTCCCCACCCCAGATCAAAGTCTCCTGAGTTCAGACTGTATGAAATGTCAAAATTAGGCTGAGTGTATCCCAGAGAGGAAAGATTGATCTGAAAGTTAGACTGGGTCTCCTTAGACACTGAATTTAGACAGTGGGCAAATATGTTTTCCTGAGTGGACTATTTCCAAATTAGGAAGCAGCCCGTTGGTGTTTAACAAACCATTAAGCCTGAAATGCCACGTTTAATTCTCAGATTTCATTTTACCCAGAAACCTTACTGCCCAGACTGTGACTAAATGCTCACTCTGTTCTCTGCCCTGGACGTCTGTTCATTTGGAGTCTATCTTTTGCCTTTTTTGTCCCCCTGACTTTTCAATTAATACATTTTTTAATAGATAAAACAGATCATACTGTGACTTTTAAAATGTCAACAAGCTTGTAGACAGAAATGTAATGAAACGGCTAATAGGAGATTCAATATTTAATAGAGGGCCTGAAGTGTGAGCAAATACAGTAGCTGTATATTGGAAACTGTGCAAGTGAAGATGGCTTTAGTATTGCAAACTGAGGAAGAAAATTGTTTTTAATTAGCACCTTCGTAAGAACTGCTGATTAATACTGTTTTGTTTGGTGAAAAGCTTTCAGCTGAGTAATTTGTACAGCCATTACAACAGTGTTGTTAGAGCGGGACTCCTGTTGTTAAACACAAACAGCAGACGATAATGGTGGAAGATGAGTTTGTCATGTAACAATTTACCTTATTGAAAAAAGCTTTATATTAAACCCAGTACAGTCGGTACCAGCAGAAATCACATATTTTACATCCTCCCAAAATTGCAGTGTGCCATGCTTATATTTTTTTTTCAGGGACTAGAAGCAGATTTTATATCATTTATAAAATTATATACACAATTTAAAGGTGGTGTAGCATGGACAGACCACTTTCTCAGCAGCAGCTTGCATCGGAGCGGTAAAGTGGCGGGGTATTCAAACACTTTCTAACTATACAGAGCAGGTTGGAAAATGGAATCCTAATTAAATAATGTTAGATGTAAATTTGCATTGGGACTGGATGTAGGGAAATAAGAATTAGTGTTTCTGCCTTAGGTGGGTTTATCACACATAGGATCTTTAAAAACAAAAACCTCTTTCGGCAAGGAAAGTTTAATTAACATTTTCTCTTTTTTTTTTTGGAGGTGTTTTTAACCGACCAAGGAAAAGAGTACACATTCAGTGAGACCTGACCAGGGAATAAGAGGCTGATTTCAGTGAACTCCCATCAAATGGATATTGCCCTAGCCAGAGGCATGGGAACTTTTCTTTCCTTTTTAAATAAAATGCAGTACTAAAGCATATTTGCATTAAAATATTACACAGACCGAGGCTGGTAAGAACTGTAAATTATTGGAGTGGCGTAATAGAGCATGAGTTTTTTTTTTTTTTTTTTTTAGACAGGCCTTCGGGGTAATAACAAGGGTTGAGGCTCACGACAGTGCCAAATAAGCTTTAGACAGCATAATAGTCTGCAAAGAAAGCCACAGAGCACTAATGTGAAGGAAGAGCTGTCCACCACATGCAGCAAAAATCACCAAAGGTCATTTTATGGTAGCAATTGTGACATAAAATTGGTGGTCATGCTACATGCCTAATACTCAGCACAGCTTTATAAATGATGGGCCCCTAGCGACGGCTGTCATTAAGTGCTTTCATCATAATAAACTTTAAACTGTTGGCTTTATGAATCGCCAGCTAGCTTCAGCTGTTCGTTGGATGGAGCTTGCAGTGCCTTAAGTGTGACAAGACCTATTAGGAATTGCAACCATGTTTCAAGCGTACTTGGCTTCCCCACTCCTGGGGTGATTGCTGCCTATTAAACGGCGTCTGGGAAGATTTTCCTCCAGCAATCTCTGATCAAGAGCTTTTTTGGGCTTTGACCTGCATTTCCTTCAAGACTTTCTCTGAGGAGTTTTATAAGAGCAAAACTCCAGAGGATTTATAGCCACTTCTGATTAATACCTTTCCAGTTTTTCTAGCAACTCTCCCACTGCTGCACAGAGAAAAGCTTTCATTGTTCCTGAGATGCTTATTTGTGACCTTTTCTCTGCTTCCTGATTCCCTCTAACGTGTTCTCTGAGTGAAATCCTCGGGGTGGAACCAAGGCAGTCGGTGAAGTTGTTACAGCTGGAGAGACAGAGGAGGAAAGAGGGAGGCTTTTATATTTTTAAAGAATTACATGCAGGGCAGTCTGGCCCCGCCCATTTAAAATACCCGCTGTTACGTCACGGGCCGCTGCCATACCAAAAGCATCCTTAATGAGCCCTCGGTGTAAACCGAGCCGACACGTAAAGATTTCATGATTCGAATTACACTTTCAGTAACCTTTAGCATAGGAAGTCTTTTAGTTTCCATAAATCTTACAGTGGCTTACCGTCTGTCCAACTGATGTGAATAATAGATGTTTGGGGAAATCGCTCTTTAAAAACCCAGGGTATTTAATTTACAAGGGCTAAATACGTATTTCAGACTTACTCAGCAAGAACTTTAATTACTTCTTGTTGATTTTTCTAACTTGGAGGTCGCCCCCCCCACTTCAGTTTTCTTCTGCTTGACTCAGGTTTTAGAGATGGTAAACGCTTTCAATGTCTAAGTCCCTGCCTTAATACTCTTATTAGTCTTTTAAGCTAAGTAATGTCCTCCAGATAGTTACGGGAATGTCTCAGGTGTGGACCATTACACAATTAAATTAGCAAACCTCAGAGGGATTGGATTAGGACTCAGCACTCAGCAGGGAACACCTGGGGATGCTAGGACCGAGCTGGGTTTCTGAAGAGCAGGGCTCTGGCCATGAATAAATAGTGAGGGTCGGCCCGCTAGGTAGCCTCAGTGAAAAACTTGTCTTACCAGGTAAAGTATTGCAGGCTAAACTATTTTTTCCTGGGAGTAGGTTTCTGTGGCCGTCGGAGCGAACAGGACAACCATCAGCCAATGTGGCAAGCCGAAGGGAAAACAAGAGTTGGAGGACTCGTGGCTTTTCACGTACAAAGGCATCCGCCCATCCCTCCCCGCGAGCCAGCCAGGGATGGACAAGTGCATTTGGAGGCTGCTGCCCAGGTGCAAGGGGTGGGGGCAGGGCGGGCTGCAGAATGCCCCAGAACAAAGGCGCCTCCAGGGGCCCGTGCAGAGGTCACCTGCTGCCTCCAGGGCAGATTAAGGAGGACTGGAGAGGGCATTCGGAGGAAATGGTGCTGTTTTTCTTTGGGAAATCAATTCGTCCCACGCTTAATAGGACATTTTGCCCTCCCTCCTTGGGAGTCCTGGGCAATGTGCTTCCAGGTCTCTCCAAATCAAGTTCGGAAAGAGGTGGCCCCTTGGCCTGCCCGAGCTCCTTCAAACAGCCTGTGCCCACCCCACCCCCCAAGAATCTCTCCTGCTCTCGGCCAGGTCTCACTTCCCTTTTCTCCCTCCTTTGGGCTCTCCCGCCCCTCTCTACCCAGGCTCCTTTCATAAGGAGGCTGAAAGTGGAACTTTCCCTCACTCCCTTACTTTGAGTTTTCTTTTTTCCCAGTGACCTGGGCTGCACTTTGCCCCCACTCCCTGGCTGCCAATCTCCTCAGGGTTCGGGCCTCTCTCTTGCCATTCTTGCGGGCTCCCCCTCCTTGAGAGCTCCGGGAGGCCCAGCCTTCCAGAATCCGATCTCCTTCCAACACTGCAGACCCCCTGTGGAGGAAGGAAGAGGCTTCCTCCGAATGAATGGCCGGTAAGGAGGTTTTTAATTTGTCTGGAGCTACAAGAAAAAGGCCTCCGAGCCGTGGCCCTCCCTCACCTCGTTTGGAAGCCCCCCCCCCCCCCCGCCTTCCCGGTGGGCACTGTCACCGCTCCATCCCAGGCAGGTCCACCAGCAGAATGGGGCGGAGGGGTCTGAAGATACTGGTTTGTTGTGTGAGAATCGCCTCCACAATTTAGAAGAAGGGCTTTGTCAGTTAGATTGCATTTTTTTTATTGTTTGCTGGCTACTGATGTGAGAAATTTGGAACTTGAGCAGTTTCTGTCACACAGGGTCAGAAAATGAGCTCAGCCCATCCCGATCTTGATTTGCAATCGGCCTTCTGATGGCCGAGCTCTCCTTGAGCTTGGGGGAAATGTCACTATGCTGCCCCCAACATGGAAGACGGTACATTTAAAAGCTTTGCCCACCTGACCTGTGGTTTCACCTCCAGGTGCATTAGCCTTCATTTCCTTCATGGGCTTTATTTTTAGGAGCAGAGGCCACAGCCCTGAATGGCCTATGTTTTGAGTGGAAGGCACAGGCTCTGTGTCTTTTTTCTTGGCCAAACCACTTATGTGAGCAGCATCTGAGGATGCCAGGAGAGAGCAGAACGAAGCAGCTCCCAGCTCCCAAGTTGCCCCATGTCTTTCCTCTCTGCCCAGCTTCTCCTGCTCAGCCCACTTCAGGCCCCGGGAGACCACCTTCAGGCTGGGTGACAGAGATCTAAGGGGTTCCAGCCTGCCTTCCCCTGGCTGTCAGTGTTTTGGCCTCACCTCACAGCCAGGCTCCTTCTAGCCCCTACTTTTGTTACCTAACACAGGTTCATGCACTCCATGCAGTGAGACCGAACAATACCGAAACATCAGAGTTTGGAGCAAAGAAAGGTTTATTGCGGGGCCATGCAAGGAAAACATACCCCCAAAAAACCTGAACTCCCCCAAGGGTTTCAGCAAAGAATTTTTAAAGGCAAGGTGAGGGAGGGGCGTGTTGGTTGTTGCACACTTCTTGCTGTCATAATCTTGGTGCAGGAATGCTGTGTAGGTCAGGTCATGATGTTCCTGTAAACCTCGGACAAGACAAATGTTATTCTCTGTTCTGCAACTTTTTAATCTCTTTATGAATGGAGAAGTGTTATACCCTTAAAGGTATACCTTGAGAATGGGCTAGCCGGTATATTTCAGGCTATAGGCAACGTTCTTAACTGGAAGCAAAAGCAATAGAATACAAAGGTTAAAGTAAAAGAAAGAGATCTAATATGGAGTCAGATTTGTTCTTCCCTATACACTTACAGCCTCCCTCCCCCACCCCCAGCCGACTAGATAAACCATAGAGTGGTTTCAGTAATCTCAATATGAATATGATACTGAAGGAGTTTATCTGACTCTTCCCTTATGATTGAAAAAAAAAATGGCAGCAATATTTTGCAGCTGTTCCCATCAAGAAATGGAGTCTATTTCTCCATCCTTTGGTTTGGAACTTGATTTGGCTTACTTTGGCCAATGAGATGTCAGTAAACATGAGTACAAACAGAGGTTTGAAAATCACTTGCACACTGAGGTTTGCTCTCTCTTGATGCCTTTGGAACCAGCTACCATGTGAAAAAGCCCAGGCTATCCTGCTAGACACTGGAGATGTGTGGCCCACTCATCCCCATCATTCCAGCCATGTGAGTGAAGGCATCCAGGACCAAACAGCCTCTGGCAGACCCAGCTGATGACTATAGCATGTGAGCGAGCCAGGTGAGTTGGCATAAAAACTGCCCAGTTGAGTCCAGCCCAAATGGCCTACTCACAGAATCATGAGCTAATAAATGGTGGTTTCAAGCAACTAAGTTTTGGGGCAGTTTGTTACACAGCAATAGATAACTGATACAATCTTGATGTTTTCTCTCTGAGGTACTTTTCTGCATCCTTAAGTGTACCTTGAAGTACCAAAACTTTTGAGATAATGCATTGCCTAAAATGTATTGAGTTACATAGTGACTAATACTGTAAAAAAACAAAAATAGGATTCAGGTCCCACAGGCCTCACTCACCCTTCAGAAAACCAGCCTATTGCAAAGGTGGATCACTCGCAGGCTCCTAGCAGAAGACACAAGAGAAAATGGGCTATGGGAGGAAGTACAATGGACTCAGAATAACTAGATTCTAGCCTGGGCTCCCCCCAGTAACAAACTGGTCATTTTAGGCAAACTACTTAATCTTTCTGGACATGTGTTTCCTCCTCTTTGAACTAGATAATTTAATTTCCCATTTCATGCTAAATTCTGAAGCAGTCAAGATAAAAACATTCCATTATCAATCAGGGCCAGAGATTTTGATCACCTCAGGGAATAGGAATTCTCTGATACTACCAAGAGAGCTGTCCCACATTATCGTGGCCCTAGAAAGTACTTAGTACTTCTCAGGAGACTTTCTCCTATGAGGTTCTAGAACGACCTTGATGTTTCACCTTGCTCTGCCCCAGGCTGAATGCTAGGGAGCTGCCTCAGGTACCCACTTTAGGGGAAGAGGAACAGTGGGGAACTGAGCACCTCCATGTTTATTCACTAATAAATGTATTTCTGTGTGCTGTCACCCTGTTAGCTGCTGGGGATCTAATAGTGAATAAGACCCTGTGACATGCTGGGGCCTAGTGAGAAAGACAAAATTGCTCTCCACACAAGGAGCTTGCATTGTTAACAATAAACAAATGTGGCAGTGCATTTATAAAATAATTATAAACTGTAGTAAATTCAATGAAAAACAGGTAGGGTCCTACTGGTAGAGAGTAATAGAGGGGCCTACCTCAGACAGGATGGTGGAAGAAACCCTCTCTGAGGGGTGTCAGTTGTGAGAAGGAGCCGTCATGCAAAGAGACGATAGTGGGGAGAGGGGCTCAGGCGGAGGGAATGTGGACGGCATGCCCCGAGGTGGCCCAGAGCCTGCGGACTTCGAGGATGAGAGCGAGGCCAGTGTTGCTGGGGCCTTGTGAGGAGGGACGTGAGATGGGCAAGAGCCAGCCTGTGCAGGATTTAGTGAGTTTGGATTTCATTTGGAGTGTGATGAGCAGCCATTGAAGAGTTTGGAGTCATGAGAATGACACAGTCAGAGGGACATTTTTTAAAGATCACTCTGAATGCTGGATGGGGTGTAGTTTAGAGGAAGTGGCGATTCCAGTGAGGGAGCTCCTGTAATGTGGTGGTCCTGGTGAAAGACAGCGGCCATGTGGACCAGGGACATGAGTGATAACGGGGGAAAGAGGAGCAAACTGATTCAAACTGTGTGTGTGTGTGTGTGTGTGTGTGTGCGTGTGTGCGCGCGCACGCACGCGCACGCCACATAATTAATAGGATTTGCTGGTGGCTTCCTCATAAAATTGCAGGTGAAGATGTCAACCTAAAAGTCTGAACCTTCTGCTCTAAAAATGTAAGCCCTCTTCCCTTAATCTACCTCGCCGACCCCCGCAACCTCCGTAATGGGATGTGTGGAGGTATGAGGGGGACAAACCACGGAGAGGATGGCACCTCCACATGCTCTAATTTCAGCTTCAGGCTCTGCACATTTATGGGCACCTGGGAATGGGGGGTCTTCATATCCTGATGCCTTCTTGGCCCCCCAGATTGGCCCTGCCTGACATCCTCTTATTCTCTCAGAGCGAGAGGTGACAGTAGCTAGATAGGACGGGGCTGTAGGATAAGAAATCTATTTCTATTTGTGGCTATAACCCCCAGCCTTTCGTTCATACTGTTTTCCTGGGCCTCCGGCACGCTTGTGGATATTCAGGGAAAGACCCAAGGAGGTCAGAGACTGGCCTCTGTCCTGGTCCTGAGGCCCCACTGAGATCCACAGGTGCAGAGCAAGTAATCGCCTATGAGGCAAGATTTAAGGAGCACAGGAAAGCCTTTGGGTGGGAAAGAAATGTGTCACTGATACTGAAATTCCACCAACAGACCACCTTCCCCTCAGCTCAAGGCAGGGGTTACTGTCAAAATGAGGCTCCTCTGGGAGAGGTGATGCTCTCATGGTCCTTGGCGTGAAAGATCTGAGGCCAGGCCTGAGTGAGGGTGGAGATATAAAGCAGGCAGTGTGGAGAGGACACAGGGAACCTAGAGGAAGTAAAGGGGCCCAAGACCTGGGGAAAAGAGCAGAAGTGGGGGAATCCAAGTGTTGGAAACCACTCGTCAGCCTCACAAGGTTACCTGGGCCAGGAGGGCCATCCTGATTCAACAGTGCACACACCTGATGGCACGTCCTCCCCATACATGGGAATATGAGCACAAGGCAGGTGATGTCCCTGCCCACACGGTGCTTATGAACTCAGAGGGGAGACAGAGCACGTCCTCATATGAGACAGATCCATGGAAAAGGACTGGCCAAGGATTGTTAGAGATCGACAGGAAAAGCAAGTACCTTCTGAAAGAGGAGGCAGGGTTTGCATTAGGCCATGACTGTTCTGGCAGGAGGAGGAAAGGCCCTACCAGGTGAATGAAGCTCATGAAGATTTCAGGAAATGTGGACTTGGCAGGAGTGCGGGTTAAATGAGGTAAAGAGTCATTCGTTCACTCATCCCACAGACTTTTATCGAAGCCTAACAGGTGCCAGGCACTCAGGGGAGACCCGTGAACTAGAGCAACAAGTTCCGTGATCTCACCAAGTGGCATTCCATGGAGGGAGAGAGGCAAGCTACGAGTGCACGGATCAGACTGGTTCAAATCAGGAGAGATGTGGTGAAGACAATAAAATGAGTCGATATTTTAGGAAGTGACTAGGCCTCCTTTAGATACAAGGTTAAGGAAGCTCTCTTGAAGGAGGCAGCGCTTTAGTTGAAACCTAAATGAAAAAGCCAACCTTTGGAGACTGAAAGGAAGAGCATTCCAAGCAGAGGTAACAGCAAGTGCAAAGGCCCTGAGGCAGGAGCATATCTGCAGAACCCAGGTGTGTGGAGCGTGGTGGGTGAGCAGAGTATGAGGCGAGGAGTGTGCAGGGCCTTGTAGGCCATGGAGAGGAAGCCGCATTTTATTTCAGTGGAAAGCCACCAGAGGAGTGACATGGCCTTGACTTCTCTGTTTAGAAGCTCACTCTGGCTGCTGCGAGCAGAATCAGTACGGGGGGGTGGGTGGGGTATTCAGGAGAGAAAGTCGGAGGCCCATGAGAAGCTGTAATAGACAGGTAGGAGGTGACAAGTGAGGGGAGAACACAGGGAGCCACCTGAGGCTGGATAGTGAGGAAGGAGCACCTATTCAGCCCAGAGGGCTTCACTTCGTCCAGGAGCAGTGGGGGCCATCAGGACTGCTGACCTGATGTGACATTTCCAAGGAGCTGGTGTGAAAACATTCCTACTGGTGGGCACACATATGGAAGCAGAGTCCTAGGTCTGTCCTGGTGTGTGTGGGCCGAGTGCAGGACCTCGCCTAGGGCTCTGAGACATGAGCCTGGCCCTTCTGATGGGCCCTGAGACCTTGAGGACCAGCACGCTGACCGACGAGAGCAGAGGCTGTGCCTCATTCATGAGGCATCCTAGCACCTGGCACGCAGTAGGTGATGGACGGGAAGGCGGGAGAAAGGAGGCTGGACGAGAGCCAGCCCAGGACATCTCTCTGGCCCCATCTCGACGCTCTTTTGTAGGCTGCATTCAGGGACTGACAGAATAGTCACAAACCTCCCAGCAAACACCTCTGAAAGGTGTCCGTGGAGATCACATTTCCTACAATTGTGGGACTAAAGGACAGAGCCCCAGATGAGGACTGGAAGGACCCAAAGGGAAATAGTAGCAGCAGCTCACATTCACTGAGTGCTTACTGTGTGCCAGGCCTTTTGTTAAGGGCTTTACATGTATTATCTCATTTTAGCTTCACAACAGTCCTCTGACATTGTTGCTGTTATCATCCCCCTTGTTACACACGAGGAGAGTGAGGCTCAGAGAGATGAAATCAAGGAGAGGGCAGCTGGCTGCCTGCCCTCATACCATTACCTCTGAGGAAATGATGTGCCCAGAGGAACCCCGGCCACTCTGCCTGGGATCGCCTTGCCCAGAGGAAAAGCCCACCTAGAAGGAAGGCTCACAGGTTAATTTGCATGCAAAGGAAAAGAAGGGTGGCGTTGCCAGTGCCTGCTTGTTAGACTGTAGAGTTGTTGAAGCAAATCAACAGTTGAAAGCTGGATCTGAGCAAGGGGCCCTGAGCTCCATGGCTGTGGTGTCCATGATTTGGCCAGGTGCCAGACCGTCCGCACCTCTGGGCCCCCACTACAGAGAGATTGGGGGTCCACCGCCCACCGAAAGTTGCGTGCCAGACCTTTATGCCCTGCCTCCCACACGCATGCGTGTGTGTGCGTGTGCGCGTGTGTGTGCGTGTGCACATGCATGCACCCATACACACAGGGCCTGCATGAGAAGGAGCTATTCTTGGATTTTAGGCTCTGGCTCCCAGGACCCCAAGTGGTAGCCGATGGTTGTGTGGTCCTGGTGGCCAGTCTCTAAAATCACTTTAAATGCTTCCTTTGCTTTGGGACTTGATGGCTCACCCCTGGGATGCACATTGGGAACTTGGTTTGATGGTGTCGAGCACTGTGGCCCCGGCAGCTTCTCCCGCTCAACTGGGCTGAGGTTAAGCTCAAGGGCCACCAGGTCAGCAAAGGCCAGGAATTTCCTGCTCTGGGTTCCCTTCCCTTCCCCACTGGCAGGGCAGAAACCAAACCCTTGACAGAGAGATCAAGTATGCCAGTGTGAGGATTCACCCCCTCCCGGTGTGATGGAACTG